CCCCCTCCTCCTCCTCCTCCTCCTCCTCGAGACAGGGTTTCTCTGAACTCGCTGTCCTCAACTCACAGAGACCTGCCTGCCTCTGCCTCCCCGAGGGCTGGAATTTTACAGGTAACTTGAAATCCCATGCCCAGCTGCACGAACCTTTAATCCCAGCACGCCAGGAGGCAGAGGCAGGAAGATCTCTGTGAGTTCTAGGTCAGCTTGGTCTACAGATTGAGTCCAGGACAGCCAAGGCTACACAAAAACAAACAGAAACCTCATGCCTCTCTGAGACAAACACCTATACATTTTCACTGTGTGCTGAATTCAATGAGATTATGTAGCAAGGGGAAAGGGCTGGGGAATGGTTCAAGGGTTGGGGAAAATTCATCCCTGAGGCTACAACCAATAAGAAGTATTTCTGAAGCAACCTAGTTCTAGAACAAGTCTCTTAGGAAAAAGGGTCTAACTGGCCTACAGCTCAGATCCACAAGGATTTGACTGTTAGAGCAGCTAAGAAATGAGACAAAGGGACAAAATAGCTCCACAGCTCCAGTTTACTTACTGATTCAGACAAATTAGAGATGAGGCCAGATCCATGGCCATGCATAGTCTTTAATATGTCCCAACAAAACTGTGGAGGTGAAGCAGGAAGCATCCTTGGAGACATAGCCCAGGAAGGATATGTGCATTTGCTGGTTGCTATTCCCTGTTGAGCTTTCCAGAAGATGCTTGCCCCAAGGAAGACAGAGATGAAAAGGTAAAAAACTTAGTCACCCTTTCAGGATCCAGCAAAACTCACTATGGACCAAGGAGACACCTGGTCCCCTTTTAGGCAGCCCTTTCTTCAGTACTGTGCTCAATGCTCTACCATCAGCCCAGTGGTGATAATCCTAATGGGGGTTGGGAGGTACAGTAGTTGGATCAGCAGTGTGGCAAATAGATGGCAGATTAACTCACTTCAATCTGCAGCAGGTTAGCTTCCTTCTACCCTGAAGATGGATCTAGACAATTCTCAGTTCTACAGGCACTGCTTGAGGCCATGGAGATGCAGGAACAGAAAAGATCAGGGGATGAGGAAGAGGAAGGCCTCAATAGCTCCCATGGAAGGGATTCCCATCCTGACTGCCTCAGCTCTGTGTTGGCCCATGCCCCCACAGAGGGTTTTCAGGACTTCTTGTTGCCATTCGGCCATCATCTGTTTCTTTCCACAAGGCTGGAAAGAGAATGAGCTATTCAAAGGCATCAAGATGCAGTGAGAAACTGCAAAATCGAAATGAGCAGAATCCAATTGTCCTAGTAAGGCACCTTAACCAAACCACTTAGCACCACTCTCTGGGAAAATGAGGAAAACCTTAACGTTTCCATTCACACCTGGGGAAGAGTTAAATGAGATGACATTACGAGAACTCGTCACAAGGCAAACAACACCAATTCTTAGGAGATATTAAACAGCAGCATTCCTCAAGTATTGCTTCCTTGCTTTGCTCTCTGCCTAGTGACCTGCTCCTGATACCGCACGGCCTTCCTATGTAAGGGGAATTCTGGAAAGGTGCCTAAACCTGAGATCCTAGGAATGATGGATCACAGAAACCCAGTGGGGCATTTCTCCTGGAGTTACAAAGGCCAGATGGACCTAGTAAGCACATGGGACAGCCAGGATACATATTCAATACACACACCCCAAAAGTACAGTCATGTGAACACAGCTCAAAAGGACAAGGCATCTGGAACTGTATAAATGAGTAGCCAGTGAGTAGCTGGATGATAGGATGAGCCACAGGAAAAGACACTCTACAAGAGACCCAGAGCCTTCCATTCTAACACTAGCTAAGCTAACATGTGACCATATGAAAGTCCCTTGCTCCTAAGTTCCTTCCTTCCTGCCTAAAAAGTAGTAGAAATAACATCTGCTCTGCCCACGTCGTAGAGATATTATAAGGACAAAATAAAGCCCAAAGGTCTGCTTTTCTAACACCAAGCTCTCAGCCATCTGTAGTAAGCTACTTAAGCAATACTTGTTAAGTTGGTGTAAAAGCAATTCAAAAGTGGAAGCCAGGCTGAGGCTGAAGCTCAGCAATAGAGTATATGCTTATCCTGTGCGAAGCCCCTGGTATGGGCCCCAGCAAAGCATTACAAAAATGTTGGAAATTTATTTGCAAAAAAATATGATTATGCTGACATACAAATGTATATATCATGTAATAAAGTATACATGAAAACAATTTAAGGACCATGAGTATATAGAATTGCATCAGCTTTAGTCCCAGATTCATGGCACATGTTTGTTGTTAGATATCTGCATTTCTGTTTTTATTTAATAATGTCATAGTCTCCTGTGGATCCACTACCAGAACACAAACTCCTCGGACTTGGATAATAGCATGCCTCTAAAGAGGTGATTCCTCAGGACTACCCTTCAGCCCATCCCCGTGTGTGTTACCCAAGATAGCCATCTTAATTTGTGAAAACATATTTAAAGGTACCCTTAAAAGCTGGATAGAATGGCTTAAACTGTAATCTCCACACTTTGGAGAATAACATGGGAGGATTGATGCAAGCTTGAGGCCTCTCTAGACTACATAGTTTAAGGGCAGCCCTGGCCACATAGCATGATTCTGTCTCAAACAAACCAAAATTAAATAAAATGACACAAATAATGACACTCAAAGCATCTTCTTTAAGAGAAGAGGAGAAGAGAAATGGACTTCTTTATCATGGTTTCAGAGCATTCCCCACCAGCTCATAGAGATGAAGATGGCAATGACAGGTGAGCGATGATGAGCCTACACCCATCCATTGTTCTCAGCTTGGATTGTCTTCTTTAAATCTCACGAATGTCTGTAGCTCAGATTGCTGGTTGGTTTTGCCAATCAACGCTATTTTATTCTCCCACTCTTTGATGGTGACAAAGATCCAATAGCAAGGCTCCCGCTCTTTGATGGTGACAAAGATCCAATAGCAAGGCATACGCCTGCCTAGATACAAATTTTATCTCCTAATTTTCCTACCTCCGTAACAGCTGGTTCCTAGATTTAAGTTCTATCCAGTGACATAAGTGAAAGTGTTCTAAAGAGAAATGAAAGGTCTCCTTCCTTGTGGAGGAGTTTCCTCTGAGATTACAACATCCCATCTTGGAGGGTACTCCTTAAAATGCAGGTGAAACAATAGGGGAAGTGAAACATTCTATAGTGTAGGGAAGCTCCTTGAGATAGGAAGTAAACTATTCAAAGGCTTCAGGAAGTCCCTGAAATTCCCTGACACACTAGGTCCCTCCTTCCCCAAGCATACATAGCTATAGACTGCTAAGAGACATCATCAGACAAGCTAAGTTGCCTAAAAGACCAGCCAAGTTACCTTGAAGAAATAGGTACAAGCCCAGTTGCCTAAAAAGGGCTTAAACCAACCTCATTACCTGAAAAGGACACTTTCCAGTCAGTTAAGCTACTTGTAGGTTGATAAATGGACTCTGTGTTTCAACCAACTCTGGTATAAATAGCAAGATGTCATAAACAGATTGCCCTCACACCCATCCACACACATATCCTCCATGTCTAGGACGTGGTTTTCCCATTCCTAAGCAAGAACATCCTAAAGACACATTGGCTATAACCCCACTTTTGATCAGCTTTAAATCTAACAGACTTCTTTCCATCTTGGCCTATTCTGGTTTTATAACATAAGTTGATGCAAATCTGTATGACTGGAATGATACAGGAGCCAATGACAGCCAATCTTTTCTCCAAACTCCCCTAACCCTCAGTTCAAACCACCAAGGAGTAAATGTTTCCTGTTTTATTCTGATGTGGTATAACTAGTGGATGATGTGGAGTGGAGATCTAAGGAGGTCAGTTTCTTAGAATGTTCAGAGAGCTTCTCTGGACCAGATAGAACCACCCACTGCCTGACTGAAAGGCAGGTGCACACAGGTGAGTCAGCTTAGAGTCTGTGGCTGGTATGGCTCACAGAGCAGTCCTCCTTCCGAAGACTTACCCTTCCAAAGGACCATGACTTGATGCCAAAAGGAATGAAGCTGTCTTCAAGCCATTGGGCTAAATTTCATAGGTAAAATGAGAGATTTTTTTTTCCCAAAGCAGAACAATGACACATTTGTTAAAAACACTAGCAACAGAAAATTCTCACCTAGAAAGCGACTTCAAAATAGTAGTCTCCATGCTTCCCGTCCTCCCTTCCACCTCACAAAAAGA